CTTATGGCTATTCATTAATTATATATATATATATATATATTTAGTTCTATTAGAATAATAGGTTATTCTTTCCCAAGTGCACTCATTCCTTTTTATTTAAATCTTTTAAACTTAAAACAGAAGAGTTGAATTGAGAATGTGAAAGTTTCAGAGAGAGAGAAAAGTTAAAATGAATTCTCTTCTGTTATTATTTTCTATTCATCTCTAAAAATGACACTTTAGTGAATTATATAGACAAACCAAACTTACAAAGGAAGGCAATGGTATAAAATCCAAAAACATTAATAGTGGCGGTTAAAAATGGACATTAAGTGTAAATTAAAATCACTAGAAATTATAGAGTTAATGATGCTAACTTAATTGGATGGAAACGATGACTATTTATGTACAAATATATATCTTAGAAAACATATTTAGTTATATTGAAAAAATAGCATTTTAACAAATATAAAAAAAATATAATTATATTTTTCATTCAAAATACTTTTATATTATCATCTATCATCAATAAAATATTTTAATTTGCTCTTAAATATGTCACTTATTCCTTATAAAACAAAATATATATAGAAATTATCACAAAGTGAAATTTCTTTATAGCGTTCTAGAAGCAAAGCGATTAATAATAATATTACTAACATCAATATTTTTCAACATTTTTTTTATCCAGGTATAGATAAAATTGTTAAAGCTAGCTAGCATCAACATTGATGATTTCAAATATAATTCAGCAAATAGATTTTATTAATTTTCTTGTAATGTTGATGATTTTAAATAAATTTTATTAATTTTAGCTTTAAAAAATTAGTCAATCCTTTTAAACACTTTTTTAAGCCTTTCACAATCTTTAGTTTTCTCTTAACTATATGAATCTAAGTTTAATTTAATCATATATATATATATATATATATATAAGTGATTTGTAATGTACGAATTTTTATTATTTATATACTTTATTTTAGTTATATCATTATTCAATATAAAATTTTTAACACACTTCGTCACATTTTGAGTGTAAAATTTATAAAAATCTAAATAAATGCACTTAATACGAGAAAATTTTGATAAAGGGTAATACAATAAATCCAACAATAAAATATGAATACAAACTTTAATATAAATCTTAATTAAGAATACTTAAAAGTCACTCTCCCTCTTTGTATGGTACTCTATAGTTAACTTGGCCGGTTCCCTCTAGCATTTAATATTACATTTAAGTTTTATCTAAAAATAAATATATTATCGATTATCTTGTCAACACATTTCTAAAAAGATGTTATATAACTAATATTATTGTAATTCATAATGTATGAAGAGTTGCTATGGTACAAGGCTCTCTAAATTTGATGCATGCTTTTGTGGCTACAAATGAGCAGTTAGGGAATAATGTTCCGTTATTAGTGGTTCTAATTAATCAACATGAGCATTCACTATTAATTAATATAGTTTAATATTAATTAATATAAATAGAGCATGATTTTTGACAAAAATTTCCGACAAAAATTTTGACGAAAATTTTTTACAAAAATTTTGACAGAAATTTCTGACAAAATTTCTGTCGAAAATTTCTGACGGAAAAATTCCGTCAAAAATTTCATCGGAAATTGTCAGAAATTTCTGACAGAATTTATGTCAAAAATTTCTAACGGATATAAATCTGTCGGAAATTTCTGACGGATTTTGATCCATCAGAAATTGACATTTTTCTTGTAATGTAGCTCAATACTTTCTAATTTACCACTTCTGTTATTTTATTTATAAATAAAATACTATTTACATCATAAAATTAATTATGTCTATAATATAACTTTAGTACGAAAAGTAATTTTTTTTTTTATGAAAAATCAGGATGTGTTACAAGTTTGATCCTCTTCTTGGGCATGGAGTCCTACTCGAGGTACCATTTTATCATCTTAGCGGTAACGTCTCAAGTTTGAATTTTATATATAGATAAAAAAATGCAGTTGAGAAAAGAGACCAACTAAATGTAATCATTTAATTATATTCTCTAACGGCAAAATTAGTTATCAATAAAATGAGTAGATTTTTTACATTAATAACATAATTAAAAAATTAATTTTTATTATGTTTTGTACCTCAAAACTAAATCAAAGACAAATACCCTTTATGTCCCAAAATGACTCCAATTTTAACACTTAAAAATGTGAAGAAAAAAAAAATACCAATGTTCTCTATTTTCAAAGTAACATTCATTTTTATTTTTTTATAATTTACCCTCTCCTAAACTCTTCAACGACTACAAAAAAAACTAATTAATGCCTTAAAAATTAAAACAGTGAGATTATTTTTATAAAATTATATAAAAAATGATGTATTTATTATTGTCTTTAATCTACGCATAAAAGCTTTAAATTTCTCAATGATTTTAAGATGGAGGAAGTATTAATTAATCAAGAAAAAAGCAAAGAGTAAGGCTAGAGTTTTATTAATATTGATGACGAAACAATTGGGTACAGAAAGAGATGCAATAATTTATTATGAAGAACATTGCATCGGAAGGAGCAGCCATTTTAGGGGTGTGGAGCTCTATTAGGAACATTATTAGTAGAAATTGGTGGCGGACACTGACACACATTGTTAATACATACGGATCCGCAACCACAAAACGGATTTCGACATCCAACTTGACACTCCTTGTCGTTGTCACAAGGTAGTCGCGCAATGGGTCCCCTTGCTTCTGATAATTTCATGCCCATTTCTGCATAATCAAAATTATACAAGATCATGACAATAACATTAATTATATATATATCATATGCCAAAATCAAAATATAATGCACAGAAAATTGATTCATTTGAATTGAGAGCTGAGATGGGATGAAATTGGGACATCATTTTTCACCTGAAGCCATGATGATAAAAGCTAATAAGAATGTCACTTTGGCAACGGAATACCTTGAAGACTCCATTTTGTTCTTATGAATTTACATGATTTGGTATACAAGTATATATAATCAAATGGTAGGATATCAACTTGAAAAAAAGTCAAACATCATGATAACTTATTTTGTTCTTTTATTGCATGAATAATAATTTTACCTGATGTATAATCTTTAAGATGGTACATACGTTACTTTGACTAGAAAAAAAGTTGTCCTGAGATATCTATTGTATTAAATTTTTTGGTCTTGTTCTTTTCTCTCTTTACTTTAGGTTTTTTAATTTATCTTTTAACTTTTATGTTAGTATCTTTATTTATATTTATAAGATTAAATTAGAACAATTACTTATTGTGACACCCTTACTACCCCAACATATATATTGTAATATCTAATCATTCATTACTGCTTTTGGAAAAAGGGTTAATGAAAGTTTGTGTCACTTTTCACTGTTAAGGTGTGAAGATTGCATAATAGAAGACTTAGGAAGAAAGCAATAACAAATTGAGGAGTGTACTCCATGCAAGGGAGTCTTGCAAGTTTGGAGATGCCAAAACCTAGTGTAGACTCAAAGCAATCCCAATGGGGTTGAACAAGTTTGGGACATTGGCTTGGCTATATATACCATTGTAGGCAAACCTCATTTTGTGTGCAGAAATTCCAAGTGAGAAATAAGAAAGGAGTTGAGTTGAGAGAGTGAGTGTTTCATACAAGTGTGTGTGAGTTGTACTCCTCGGTTTATCCTCCTCTTTTGAGTGATTTCTCCTGGCTTGGTATCGCCCCCAGACATAGGATTTTTATCCGAACTGGGTTAACAAATTCGTGTCTTTTATCGCTTTATCGCTTTCACATTCGTTATTGTGTTGTTGTTGGCCATCTTGACTTGATCCATTTCATAACAACTGGTATCAGAGCCAGGTCATAGTATCAAGATGGAGGGCAAAATTCCAGTCGAACGATTCAATGGTTCCGACTTTGGATTCTGGCGCATGCAGATGGAGGCCTACCTGTATGGGAAGGACCTGCACGCACCACTTGCAGAGAAGCCCGAGAGGATGAGTGATGAAGAATGGAAGGTGCTCGATCGGAAGGCGATGAGCGCTATAATTCTATCGCTCTCTCGGAATGTTGCCTACCATGTGAAGGGAGCGAAAAGCACGAAGGAAGTCCTGCAGACACTTGCCGATATGTACGAGAAACCCTCAGCAATGAACAAGGTTATGCTGATGAAGAAGCTGTTCAAGTTGCAGATGGAGGAGAGGAAGTCGGTGGCCGATCATCTCAACGACTTCAACCAACTCACGACGCAGCTGGCGTCTGTGAACATTGAGTTTGATGATGAGGTAAAGGCCTTAATCCTGCTCTCATCGTTGCCCGACAGCTGGGATGTGGTTGTTACTTCGGTGAGCACTTCGTCTGGCAAGGAGAAGATGAAGTTCGACAACATCAGGGACATGATGTTGAACGAAGAGACCCGCAGAAATCAGGCGGGAGGGTCGTCTGGATCTGCACTACATACAGAGTCTAGAGGGAGACCCGACACACGGGGTAAATTCCGTGGAAGGTCAAAATCCAAGGGGAGAAACAAAGGCAAGAAGGAGATGGTGTGCTGGAACTGTGAGAAGCCCGGGCACATGAAAAGTGAATGCCGGGCGCCAAAGAAGGAGAAGGAGGGCCGGACAGCAAATGCCGCAATAGAGGAAACGGTGGATGCACTCTTGTTGAGTGTGAGCAGCTCGTCCGATGACTGGGTCATGGACTCAGGGGCCTCATTCCACTCATGCAGTAGAAGAGACATCATGGAGCCATACACTACAGGTGATTTTGGCATGGTATATCTTGCAGACAACAAACCCCTGAAGATTGTAGGGAAGGGTGATGTACGGATCAAGTATGCAAATGGGTCATGCTGGACCTTACGAGATGTAAGGCACATACCAGGACTGAAGAGGAATTTGATTTCAGTCGGACAACTGGATAGTGACGGCTTCCACATAATGTTCGGAGACGGTAAGTGGAAGGTCAGCAAAGGAGCTATGACATTGGCACGAGGGCTGAAGTCAGGAACGCTCTACATGGCAGGAGGATCCAACCCAAACATCCCCTTTGCAGGAGCAGTCTCGCAGGCTGATTTGTGGCACAATCGCTTGGGCCACATGAGCGAGAAAGGCATGAGCGTGCTGAAGTCAATCGGACGGTTGCCCGAATTAAAGTCGGTGGACGTAGGTCTATGTGAGCATTGTGTGCTTGGAAAGCAGAAGCGGGTGAGCTTTATGACCACGGGGAGAACTCCAAAGATGAAAAAACTGGAGCTCGTACACACTGACTTATGGGGGCCAGCACCGGTGATATCTCTTGGAGGATCGACATACTACATGACGTTCGTCGATGACTGCACAAGAAAGGTATGGGTGTACTTCCTGAAAAGAAAATCCGATGCCTTTGATACCTTCAGGAGATGGAGAGCACTTGTGGAGAATGAAACTGGTCTACAAGTGAAGTGTCTGAGATCAGACAACGGTGGTGAGTACAACAGTGAAGCCATCAAGGAATATTGTGCCGACCGTGGGATCCGGATGCAGAAGACAATCCCGGGCACACCTCAGCAGAATGGCGTTGCTGAGAGGATGAACAGAACACTGAACGAGCGTGCGAGATGCATGCGATTGAAGAGCGGACTGCCCAAGATGTTCTGGGCAGAAGCAGTCAGCACGGCTGCTTTCTTGATCAATCGTGGGCCTTCTGTCCCGCTGAACAACAGGATTCCAGAGGAAGTCTGGAGTGGTAAGGAAGTTGATCTCTCTTTCTTACGCACCTTTGGTTGTTTAGCCTATGTTTTGAACGATGATCGGACTAAGCTGGATGCTAAGTCGATTAAGTGTACATTCATTGGATATGGGACTGACGAATTTGGGTATAAGTTCTGGGATGATCTTAACCGGAAGATAATTCGTAGTCGTAATGTGGTGTTCGATGAAGGCATGATGTACAAGGACAAGAAGGAGAGCCTGAACGATGGCAAGATGGAAAAGGAAGTGGTTGGTCTCGACATATCAAACACCAGGATCCCGAGACCAGCAGACAATGATTCAGTGGGAGTTCAGATGGAGGAAACCGACCAAACAGAGGAGGAGTCTTGTTAAGGTGTGAAGATTGCATAATAGAAGACTTAGGAAGAAAGCAATAACAAATTGAGGAGTGTACTCCATGCAAGGGAGTCTTGCAAGTTTGGAGATGCCAAAACCTAGTGTAGACTCAAAGCAATCCCAATGGGGTTGAACAAGTTTGGGACATTGGCTTGGCTATATATACCATTGTAGGCAAACCTCATTTTGTGTGCAGAAATTCCAAGTGAGAAATAAGAAAGGAGTTGAGTTGAGAGAGTGAGTGTTTCATACAAGTGTGTGTGAGTTGTACTCCTCGGTTTATCCTCCTCTTTTGAGTGATTTCTCCTGGCTTGGTATCGCCCCCAGACATAGGATTTTTATCCGAACTGGGTTAACAAATTCGTGTCTTTTATCGCTTTATCGCTTTCACATTCGTTATTGTGTTGTTGTTGGCCATCTTGACTTGATCCATTTCATAACATTGCCCATGAACAATCAGATATGACTTAAATTGCTTTAATTGTTTTGGAATTTGTGGGGATGTTTTAATTAGTTTAATGATTTTTATAAATATTTTAAAGGTTTTTAATAATTATGAGTGTTTTTAATTAAATAATAAATGTTTGTGATTTTTTTTTTTGCATAATATTTATTGGAAAAATATGTGTGTTTACGTCAGTTTTATGTTTTATGCTTCTCACTTTTGGGAACTGAAGAACACAAAGAAGAGAATACAGGAGCAACAAGAGTAGATCTTCATCCTTGCACATGTGCTCATAGAGGTAAGGGGGAGTGGGGGTTCTCCTTTGGGACTCAATTAATATGTTGGGTTAGGGAATTACAATCCCTTTTTGCCTATTATCTAATTCTTTGGAAAAATTCATAATTTTGATTTGTATGATGAGAATATGCTTTGTATGATTCGTATAGGCTTTGTGGATGATCTTTGTATTAAATATGAAATAAATTGTATTGATTTTGATTATTTGTAATTTACGAGTGTCTATAGGAACCCTAAATTACAGAGGAAAGTAAAGATTGATAAAATTAATGATGAATTATGAGAATGATGTATGTGTTTGGTTAATTGATGGTATAAAAGTATATTTTGAGTGTTAATTATGCTTTTAATTGATTGAATTGATAATTAAAGTAAAAGGGTGTGTATGGATATATTGGGAGTTAAGGTTTATGTATGATTTGAGAGTTATGGTGCAATTCATTTAACTCAGAAAATTCTAGTATGAACATATATTTGTAACGCCCTGCCATAGTCTCTACACTTAGTGGAATCGCACTACTACTAGTTAACTAAGAGAGAAATATTAACATTAGACAACTCATACATACAGACATATATATATATATATATATATAAGAATAAAATAACTAAGTTCTATGTACCAAAAATATAACATCATATATGTACAGTCATCCAAAATAACATCACCCTAGTACCGGTCACACACAACCAACAACTACCTAAGAAGGTAGCTCAAACACTAGGACAAAACTCCTCAACATGTAGCGATCACCTCAACTCCAAGCTAGCCCTGACCTGCTCCCATACCAAGTATGATCATCGCAGTTCCACCACATGGAAACAGAAGGGTAAGTTAGAGTTCAAAATCAATCATACAAGTATAGAACAATAATCTATATTACACAATCATCCAACTATCAATCATGTTCATAGAGTCACATCATACACTCTATCCAATACTACTCATGCATAAAATGAAATCCACTAATCATGAAGCCAAACACCACACACTTCATCATATTAACAATCATGCAATAAATGCATCTCATGACAGATATCAATGCATATCAATCATCTAATGTGTCGTCACGCATACACCTAGGAGATCTCTCTGTCAACAGATTAGTATAGGTGACATCCCATCCTACCGAAACCACCCCAACCGTTTTCACGCCCAATGCGCCCGCTCAGTCACAGCTAAACAG